TTATGCCATCTAAACGGATATTCGTGTCCATAATATTGTGCTCATTATTACAAGCGTTTACATTGGGTCTCGTATTGACTGAAACCGCGTATTTGCCGTCCTTTGCGCAGAAAAGTGCATTACGTATAAGCGCTGAAACGGCCGGTTACTTGGCCACTGGATACTCGGCCGCGATGGCCGTCAGCCGAGCCATATGTATACCGGTGTCCATATATATCAGACCTGAAATAATGATACTTTTTGGTCTGATTTTGACGGTAATCGCAGAGATATTACTCCTGATTTTGGCCGACCGGTCACTGATAGCGATGTGGACGGGAAATATAATCTACGGTTTAGGTGTCGGCCCTTTCTATGGCTCCAGTTATTACTTGATTGAAAGGATTACTCCAATCACTAAATCTGTGGGTATTTTCATTACATTTATGTTAGGAATCGTACAAATGATTATACCGTTTATTTTGGGAGCACTTATTATTGTGAATATATTTTCACTCATTTATGTTAACATTGTTTTAATAGTTTTATCATTTATTGTATTATTTGGTGTTTATTTTGTTAATCGAAATTATGTTTGTTATACTATTAATTCGTGAATATACTATTTTTACTGAATATTTACTAAATAGTTAAATGTTTATACACTGACTTATTTTGAATTACTACTTGTATTAGAACTTGTAATAACTGTACAATTCTGTAAAAACTATATTTATTTTGTTTACTTTTAAATTATTTAAATGCAGTAATTTTGTTATAAATAATTGTATTCTATGCAAATTTAACATTAATAATATTAATGATTATCATAGTTGATTATTAATTTATAAATTAATAACCATGTATTTGCTATTAATTAGTGTAAAATCCGGTACTCAATGAGAACGTAAGTATTAATATTATAAAATATTATAAATAAATGTAACGTTAATTTGAGACTAATCTATAATAACGTGTTAATAATTATTGGGCAACAGATATGGTGTGTTAATCCAACTCACTGTGAAAACCTTACACCAACTGAACAATACATGTCTCACTCAACTATCATTTCAACGGATCCATTGATTTTAATAAATGTTATTTTTAAAATAACCAACATTTATGAAATAAAATTTTATGCACTTTTATCATAATATTTATTAAACCCTATACAATATAAGCTCAACAAATAAACATCGAAATAATAATATTGATTTTAAAAATATTTATATTGGTCGTAAACTTAAATATTTGTATTGAGTTGCATATTTAAATAAATATTTTACCATAAAATGAGATAAATTATGAAATTTTTAAAATCAAGAATAAACCAATATTTGACTAAAGGTTAATTTTACTATTAATTATTTACAAAAGTGTTTATTTAATTATTTTGTGATTAAATAAATACAATTATTAAATCTGTTGTGTTTGTATGTTATATAAATGTGAGCTTTGAATTAACTTTGCATTCAATTCATGCAAACGTAAAAATTAACACTAATTGTCAAACAAATCATGACTTGAATACAGAGCAAAACAATATTGTGAAGAATCACATCATGTAATCACTGAATATTACACAATCAATTAATTTTTGCTGTACTTCTAATCTCTCTCTCTTTCTCTCTCTCTCTCTCTCTCTCNGAGAAAAACAAAAAATAACGCATGGGAATTTATTATAGGGAACCCATAATAAATTCCCGATAAACTCCAATAAACTCCGGGAATATTCCCATGATTCCATTCCCACTCCATAAGTTTCTTATCCCTATTTGTTTTCACGGCTTATAAACAATTGGCATAACATGTGTTGTGAGTAACCATTGGTTACCCTATGATTGGGCGCTGTATTTGAAGCCTATGTTAACCAAAAGCATATGTTTTATGCATTCAATGAGCAAACAGTCCCTCAAAACGAGTCCTCAAAACGTAAACACGATTTGAATTTTTTGTTCACTTTTTTATTATTTATTTGTTTTTCACTTTTAATTCACATATCATTTGATCGTTTAGTGATCGCCAGAAGTGCCACAACTTCTTCGGTGACAATGAGCTCACGAGTGGAGGCATTGCTGGAAGAGTTGGAGACGATTGAAGAGCGGCGAAGAGACCGACGGACCGATCACTGGACGGCCGAAGAGGACCGTCGGTTCGTGGCCTGCATTAAGACACAGTTCCGGCACAAAGAGTATCTGCGCGAAGACATCACCGACGAGATCGACTGGGAACTAGTGGTGGACCGCATGAAGCGATCGGTGGCCAACTGTCGCCGCCATTACTGCAAATACATTCGCATTAAACTAATCAATGAACAAAACGCACGCGTTTTGGACGGCGTTTGGCACCACTTGTACGACACCTCAAGACTCGTCACTCACTTATATCATAGCGATTACGACACCGAAGACGATATCGATTGGGATTTTCTGAAGGAAAAGTTTGCGAAGTAATCGCTTTTGACAATAGTTTTGGTGTTTTATGATTGTTGTATTGATTTATTATTTGTTGTTTTGTCGATAGGATTATCAATTATAGCCAACTCTTAAGGATATGGCGTAATCTGAAGGCAACGGTTCCGCGCAGTGATAGCAATACATATAAATCGATGATTGAATGGTTATATCGGTATAAGACTACCGATGAAATAGTCTTAAGTGACGACGAGTTGTGATATATTTTTTGATTTTTTACACAAATTTAAATGGATTTTATGTATTATTAATTCATATCTGAACGTAATTTTAATTATATAAATCACTTTTTATACAAATCAAACCATATTTCGCTAATTTATAAGTGATTTAATAATGCAATGCATTGTTGAGTGCCTTTAGACACCAATTGTCGTACAAATTGTTTATTAAGTTTAATGTAAAAAATAAATTCAAATTAAATCATAATTCAAACGGATTTTAAAGAGAAACTGAATTACTATTTAATCCATTGAAAGAAATTGTGTAGAAATGGACACAAACGGTGACAATAATGACGACAATGAGGAAAGTGTGGAACGAATCGAGGGAATCATGAATACGTCCACTGAGGCCAAGAGTTGTCCCATTTGTTTGACACAAGTGTCCAATCGATCGCTGGCCGACACATGTCTTCACGAATTCTGCTTCGACTGCCTTTCCGAGTGGTCTTCGACTCACAATCGGTGTCCCGTCTGTCGACAGCCGTACCGACACATCATCCATAACATAGTGTCCGAAGAAGTGTTCGCCCGAACGCCAGTCCAACACCGCAACGAAGACATCGACGTCGAAGTGACGGCTGTTTTGCGGCAAATGTTTCTCTTTCTTCGGGTGATATCGGCTCGGAATCGAAGTATGCGTCTCAGGGATCAGGTGAAAGAGAACTTGGATCAGATGAACGCCCGGCTCAGTCGCGCCAACGCCGGCCAGAGTCATGAGTCGCGCCGAGTGTTGGCTCAGTTGGAGCAACAAATACAAGAACTCCGGACGTCGTTGGAGAGGATCGACACCGATATCACTGAATTGAATGCAGTCCTCAATTCGGAGGATCCGACAGAAGTGGATCTCATGAATGGTCTGAACGGTCGCGAAGAGGACTTTAACGACGTGATCGGTGTCATCGATGTACTCATTCCGGTGGCCAACGCAGAGGCGCTCGAAGACAACGAAGAGTGGGTCCCCGAAGGCAGTGAGGAGGAAGACGACGAGGAAGAAGATGCAGAATCGCTGGACTCGACTGTTGAGGACCCCGACTACGTGCCCGACGAAGACATTGAATCGTCAATTGGCAGCGAAAGTGGCGATGAAAGCGATAGAGAATCCAGTGATGACAACAACACCCGAAGAGACACACGAAGGAAAAGACGACAATCAGACGAGTCGGACAACAGTGAAGATGAAGACTATTTGCCCGCAAATGAAAAGCGAAGGAAAAAGTAGTTTATAGTAAAAGATGTGCTGTTTTTCAATCATTTCAAAAATTCATTTCAAAAAATTCAATATTTTATAGATTTTTTATTTTATCATTCAATGAAATATTGATTCAAAAATTATATTTATTTCTTTATTTAAATAATGACCTCTTTTTATATTAAAATATATACAAAAAATTAATTAAGTTTTAAATGCTTAATAATTTA